AAAGCTCACGCAGGGCTGGGGATTTAGCTCAGGGGCACCATGTCTGCCTTGCACACACAAGGTCCTGAGTTCGATCTCCCATACCAAAAAAAAAAAAAAACCAGACTTTTCCCAGATACCTTCTTTCAGCAATCTTCATTTAACATCTTGAAGCCCAGACCTGTCTGGCTCTACCCTACTTTCAACCCACCTTCCAAGTGTTTCTTTTCTATTTTAGTCTGATAACATTGCTTCTTTAATAATTTCCATTGTCCTCAGGATAAAGTCTACCTCAGGAGGAGGATGGGGCTTTCATGGACATGTTTTGTTTCTCATCCCTTGCTACTCCCTGCCCTCAGCGCCTCACTTCCATCCACACACTTGACTTTCAGGGTATGCTGCAGTTTCCCACAAACCTCATATTTTCCAGCTGGTCCCTTGCTTTCTCCAACTGCCTCTAAAACAGCCCAACTCCTTCAAGAAAATTCTCTCTCAGTGAAGAAGTTTCCCTGGTTGCAAATATAGAATTGCTCCTTCTTCAATTACCACCACCAAGTTTGGAAATAGTTTTACTGTTTCTTTCCTGGATTTCTAATTATAAAAGATGTATTTATTGAAAAAAATTTGGGAAAAGTATATAAAGGATGATAAAATGATAGAAAACCAATGAACCATCATAGTTCATCATCACTAAAATTAGGTATCTCTAACTAGATCTCTATCTCCAAGTTCATAATATATACTGACTTGTACCTTATTTTCTTAAAACTATATCCTTATCATTTTTTTTCATATGCATAGAAATTGATTTAAACTGTTTGATTGGCTATACACTTTTTCACTGAGAGTATTATAGACAGTAGAAATATTATAGGCAGACAGACCTAGGCCCTCGGGAGTCAGTGCAGAAGATGAGAGCACATTACAACTGTGGCTGGAGACACATCCGTTGAAGTCCAGGCCTCAAGATAAAGATGCAATGATCAGTCCTGCATGCCTCTCCAAGGGAAAAACAATAAAGATTATGCTATAATTAGTATCACCTGGTTCAATAAAGTCTAGGTAGACATCAGTCACCCAGGTGAGTGGCCAAGACCTCCTGATCCATCACTTCCTCAAAAAGTCTTTCTTTTTCCGTGTACATTCGCTGTGTGACCTGCTTCCCCATTAGATCAATATTACCTAAGCGGCTATATTTGTAATCTTATTGGTCGATCATAGTTTTGACCCACATTACACCCACCTCGTGATTTTGTACCTACCTCATGATTTTGCACTATAAAACTTCCTTTGAGAAGTGGGCTCCTTGTCAGCCCACTTTTGGGTTCCCTCCTGTCTCTCTCAATAAATTTTTCCTACTCTTAACCTCCATTGTTCCTTAAAATTTATTCTTTCATTTTGAGAAATACAAACTCCATGTAACTGACATCTAACAGGTTGAGTTATATTATTTCCCCTTCATCAAGAGTACTAACCAATCAACTCTTGGTGTAGCATTGGATTTTCCATTTTTTGTTTATTATATCCTGATCTTAGGTCTATCCTAATATTATGTTTTTGTTTTTTGAGACAAGGTTTCACCATATGATCCAGGCTGGCCTTTCACTTACTGTGTAGACCAGGCTGGCCTTGAACTCCCAGCAATTCTCCTGCCTTAGCCTCCTGAGTGCTGAGATTACAGGTGTGGGCCACCATGTCCAGCTTCTAGCCTAGTATTTTAGAGACTTTAAAGTATCATTCCTTTAAAAATTGCAGTGCCCCCATTGAGGCCATACTCTTAAGTGAAATAAATAGGACACACGTGTATAAATACCGAATAGTTTCTCTGGTGTGAGAAACTGAAAGTGTAAATAAGGATTAAAATGAATAATTGATAATGTAAAATAGGAAGAAAAGAAAAAAAAATAGGAAGAAAAGGTCCAAAGGGGTAGGGGAAGTGGGAGGGGTAGGGGAAAGGAAAAAAGGGAAAGGAAAAAATGTGAGAAAAGGAAAAAATAGAAACAAGCTTTTTGTAAATAGGGAGGGGTGGAAGAGTCGAAGGGAGGGCAGGGGAATGGAGAAAAAATAAGAACCAAGATACATCATGTAAAGGTACAAGTTCCCAATGATAAATGTAAACGTATTGCATACCTAAAATGTACCAATAAAAGAATTTAAGGAAAAAAATTTCAGTGCCCGTAACAATGTCTTACCATACAGCATTTGTTATATGGGTTACAAGTAGTTATTTTCCTGCTGATATCCACATACCCACAGTCTTTTGCATAAATCAATACTCAAAAAGTAGTAGAGCTGCCTTAAATTCTTTCTGGAAAAAAGGACAAGATACACGCAAACAAAATACAGAACCAATGCTATGAATCACTACAAGAGACCAGCTGGTGTGTCTTGCCCTGGCAAAGAAAAGTAGCACGACCTTCAGACTACAGCGTTCAGCGTGGGTCGCCGGCTGCTGGGCACGAGCTCTACCAAAATGAGCCACAGGTCGCAGGATCCCTCCGGCCGCCGTGGGCGGTGCCCTGCGCGCCAGGACCCCGAGCGCTCCGCAGCTCCTCCCCGGCCTCTGCAAGCGCCTGGGGAGCCCAGTCCTGTGTGCAGCGCGGAGGACCAGCACCGAGCCGCAAGTTACAGTGCGCCGCCGGAGTCAAGGGCAGCCCTCCGCGCTTCCGCGCTCGCGCACCACTCACCCGCCCACGAAGTTAAGCGAGGACGCTGGGCTTGTCCGACTCGACACCCAGCCCTAAGAACTCCTAAAGAACGACCCCAGAAGGAGCTCAACAGTCGACCTCCCCCCATCTTGGTAAAGACTCCCACTCCTTTTCCGGTCCCTCTCGCAAAATTGCCCCAGCAGAAAGGTTCCGAGACCCACTCGCGCCCTCTACAGCGGATTTGTATGACTGGATTACTGTTAAGGCTGGCCCGCTACTTTCACGCTCAGTATCTGCACTCTGCGAATGCAGCAAAACGATGAAAAGTTCTTGGCACTGTAACTTTTAAGACCCTCTATTCTACCTAATCCCACCACCTCAAACCTCATGATCATAGTAGTCATTATTTCATGCCTTTATCCCGTATAGCTTCATATTTAACGTCTCCCCAAGTATATTTATATCCTTATAAGATATTCACTCTACAGCTTAAAATTACAAAAGAATGGAAGCCCTTTTCTAAGAGTTGGACTGTTGCCCTTTCAAGACGCTCAAATCACAGAGGGCCAGAAGCCTGATTTTCAACTCTGCTACAAGTGACCTAATATCCTGGACAGGATGCATGTCATTAGAGCAGAGGACTGTTAGCACTCAGTCTAGGCAAACTTCAGAGCTAGAACAGTAATCAGTAACATTTTACCTCTGAATGTATAAAATGCCTTTCCTTGGGCAAGAATAATTATAACTTCCAACAGTAAATATTCTATTTTCAACAGGCAGGGTCAAATACGTAAAGGGTTCTTTGAATTAGTAACGTTTATTACAATGGAATAGTCTTTCACCTACGTCTCCTGAGCTAAAATACTGGCCTTTCCCGTAAGAGTGGGTGTAAACTTGCACTCTATATCCTCTTCAGAGGCACCTTCCGTTAAGATACTTCCCCAAATAAATAACCATGTGTTACACGTATTTGTTGAGATGACAGATCCAAAGAAAAAGTCAAGTCCAAATATGATTGAAGTTTTAAGAGCTTTATTTAAATATACTATGCTTTCTTTGAATGTACCACACCCCACTGGGCTTCAAAGCCTGCTCACTACATTTTCAATTCAACAACAAAGGCAATCAATGATTTCCTTTAATAGGAAGCAAAAGCTTTTTGAATCCCCAAAACTAGTTTGGACCTAATACTCAAACTGGTTTACAGTCCTTTTCTCTAGGGACGTTTTTTTAAAAAGGCTTTCCCAATAACCCTTAAACCCAACTTGGAAATAGTTGTTAAGCGACAGGGATTTAACTCAGTGGTTCCTCCACCTGCCTCGCAAGCACAAGGTCCTGAGTTCGATCCTCAGTACCAGAAAAAAAAGTTGTTGGCTGTAATGTAGCATGTGGCTGTCGTGGAGACATTTTCCAGACTACACTATGGTCTCATCCATAAACATATAGTCTACAAATTGATCTTGCTAGAAAACTTGTAACACATATAAAATTGTAAAATACTTTTAACAGCTAAGTTTTCTCTTCAAAATGAATTTTCATATTAAAATTCTACATAAATTGGGTAATAAAAAGTGCACTATCATAATCAGAATGTGGCAGATTGAAGCAATGTGTTTACAGAGAAATTCTTAAGAGGATACCTGATGTTATGTGTGTTAAGAGCTAATAAAACACTGTTTCTCTGGTGTGAGGAACCGAAAGTGTAATCAAGGATCAAAATGTATGATAGATATAGGGAGGGGGTTGGGGGAAAAGAGAAAAGGGAAAATAGAAGGAAAAAACCTGAAAACAAAGCTTTTGTAAATAAGGAAGGGAAGAGGCATTGAGGGGAGTGGAGGGGAATGGAGGAAAAAAAGAATCAAGATATATTATGTACAGGTATGAATTCCCTATGACAAATATGATCATTATATAATGTATCAATAAAATTTTTTTAAGTCAAAGCAAAAAGTTAATAAAAAGCTCATTTTCTCTTAGATTTCAACCAAAAGCTGCTTAAAACTGAGAAACTAGGCCTACAAGTGTCCAATGCCTTAGCGATCAATCATCTAATTCCTTCCTTAAAACAGCTGAGGCCATAGTAATTTAGTGATTTGCTCAACACATCAAATTAGCAGAGCCAGGGCACTCCAGTAAATTAACTACTTCCATTAAACTACATGTTACATTTTAGAAATTTCAAAAAATTAAAATACACTCTATATAAAAAAAAAAGTTTGAATGTAAAGGTGGCCATAAGGCAGTATTACAGTAACTTTCGAACTAATATGGTGCCTTGTGAAAATTTCCAAATAAAATTTTAAGAACTCACCTACCATTATATTTCATGTCTCTGAGGAAGTGAAGTAATGCAAGCTAAAAACAGATTGGGAAACTTACCTACTGTGAGTCACACTATTAGAAAGAGATACTAACAGCTAAGAAAACATTTTATTTTACAATGGCAGAAAACAAGTACACTGAAATTCCACACCAATCTTTATTTGTATTTTAGGGACCTGAAACAAATCTTGTAATTACCTTTTCCAGATTATGTTTTATTCTCTTAAAGGTGTGGTTTACCCCCACTCCACAAAGCAAGTATGATTAATATACTAGATATATTTTTAAGAGGCTCTTTTAAAGAAGACAGATTGTATTGACCAATCCAGACCAATGATTATCTCAAAAATGTATTAATTTTCTGGTGGTGTCATTTTAGAAAAGATTTCATAGTTAAGTTATATATCTAACTTACATGTAAGTTTTAGCATTCACATCCTAAATCATGGAAGCTCTATTCTACATAATCTTACCACTCAAACACTAAGTCAAGGAAATGGTGAATTCTCTCAATTTTCCATAAAATATGAAAAACCCAAGTATCTAATAGTAACACTGATATCTACTATTCACAATTGTCATGATTTTTTTAAAAAACTATGGTTTTAACTGATAAGAAGCTTGCAAATCATGACAAAGTAGATAAAACCGTCAAATATACTTTTGACTCAAGTTCATATTTTGTCCAAAAATGTGTATATCATAGCCAGCAGAATTTTTCTGTATAATTTTATTTTGAAAATAGTATTTCACTTGAAGATTAATCTAAAAAACATTTTAAGATATGAAAATGTTATACAACTTATCTATTACAAATAATCAGATAATTCTTCAATTAGGTACACTTCAGTTAGCTCATCTACATAAAAAATATTGCACATTTTTCTTGTCTCTATGATCTAAACCATATAGACTTACAAACTATTTTAAAATTATTCTGTGAAATGTCAACTTTATAAATATCAGAACTAAATGCACTGTAAACAGCCATTTTGGTAAACATGCATTTATTCACAGTTTACTTCCTTTAGATAAATGCATAACTGCTCAAAATTATTTAAAAGAACCTATGTAGAGGTACAAGAGCACACTATACAAATCTATTTTTATCTTCATTTTGAGGAAACACTGATCTTGGCAAAAATCTGGCATTATTTTTTAAATGAACTATTGCTGGTAAGAAGGCATACTTTAAAATTGTCTGTGTCCTGACTTGCTTTTTAAAATAAAATTTAAAAGCATATGTTTTCAGATTCATCACTGCATAAGTGCATAATCATTAAAAAAATGGACCCTGATAGCACTTGATTTAAAGTTAAAAATGCCTCAAGAGCCCCATTCTACTCATAAGCTGTGACTGCTTTAAACTGGACCACTCATTGATCATAATTTTTAGAAACTGACAAAATCATACCATTTAATGTTAAGTAATTGACACACACCTGCATAATACAGCACTCCTCCACTGGGTTGAGGTCACGTTATACTTTTAAAAATATAAATATATTGAAATTTTAAGTCTATTTCTATAGTAACTCAAGGTGTTTCAATATACCTCTAAAACAGAAATGAGTGAAATAAACTGGGTGTAAAATATAGTTCCCAGACTTTACTATTAGTGTCAAACACAGTTGTTCATTACAAATAACTATACTGATGCACTGGCTTGATTGATTCCAGCAATTTCATTTTACAAGTGTGAATCCTATCTTATACATACAGCGAATATGTATTTACTTGAAACTCCCCAAAATAAGAAAAGTTTCAAAGGTTAATCAAATGCTTCCAAGTGAAAATAAAAGGTCTATTTCTGGCCCTCTTCCACACCCTTAATGTTGGAATTTGACACAAGTCCATGGATACAATTTGCAAACTCTGACAAACTTTTAAGTTAAAACTGTTTTTCTTTGGGGGAGGTGGAAGGAAGTACCTTTAAAAGCTGTTGTACAAAATTCCAGCTGCCTTTTTAGAAAAGTATGTTCCTTAGATTAAAATTATAAAATTAAGGTGCAAGAGTTTAACAAAAATGAACTAAAGAGCTTTATTGACATCACAGTACATTCAAGAATAAGTTTAAGAACATTACAGCTGAAAGAGAATGGCATGTTTATAGTCTTATTATGCACTATTTTTTGAAAAAAATGTAATACAAAGAAATCCTATTAAGTAACTTGGAGCAGCATTTGGAAAAAGTACACCTATTTACAGATTAAAAAAAAAAAAGATTCTGGTTTCACCTACACAGCCACAATGTGCCTCTATAATGAGACAAGCCCTTAAAACTCATGGAATTTTTTTAAAACATCATGGCATTCTTGCCACATCATTCCTCAGCGCTTACGACGGGGAGGGGTTGTTGATCTGCAAGAAAAGGGAAAAGACAAAATTTAAAAATAAAAATGTATTTTAAACTAATAATCTGCAATTTTAAATAAATACTATTATATAGGATTTCTAACATTATTTAAAACTATGATCATTTATCAAGTACCAAACTGACTTTATTAAAGAGAGAGAGAAAGGACACTTTCAACTTTGAATAAATTCAGTCAAATTGTTTTTTTAAAAAATCAGACAAAATACTTTAAAAAGTATACTACCTTGATCGGGACTTAGACTTGTGTTTGCGGCTTGCCTTCTTACCAGACCTTTGAGATTTCTCCATGGATCGCGATCGACTATGTTTAGGCTTCTTAGCCTTCTTTTCTTTGCTACTTCCTGGAGATTCAGAACTGCTCCTTCCACTAGAATCAGAGCCTGAATGCTTTTTACTATCTTTGGTAGTACTTTTCTTACTATCTTGTCTAGAATCATGTCTTATAATTTTAACAGATATAGAACCACTCCTTGAGAATGTTCTTTCACTTTCTCTTTTCCTCTTTAATCTATCATCTTGACTACTAAACTTAAAATCTTTTTCTTCCCTTTTTTGTTTCTCTTTTCTTTTATCCTGTTCACGCTCCCTTTCTTTGTCTTTCTTTTTCCTATCTTTATCTATACTTCGACTCCTCTCCTTTTTCCTCTCTTGTTCTTTAGCCTCACCTTTATGCTTATGACTGCTCCCACTAAGATTTCCACGTTGATCCTCAATTTTACGCCTATCTCGACTCCTACTGCGACTGGAACGATTGGTTCGTCTATCCCTTGAGCGACTTCTACTTCTACGTCTCTCTCGGGAAGGACTCCGATTTCGTCGTCTTTCTCTTTCAATGCTATTTCTATTAGATCTCCTCCTGTCTCTAATCTTCACCCTAGCCCTACTGCTCTCTATTTTAATTCTGCGAGAGTAGCTTCTACTTCTACTACGTCTTGCTTTAATTGTTGGAGATCTACTCCTACTATGTCTCTTTTTTCTTTTAGGAGAAGAAGACCGAGAAGAAGTATGACTACTACCTGAGCTAGAACTGTAAGAAGAACTGGAGATAGTACTGCTAGTACTACTAGTTCTGCTATTGCTACTGGAACTACTGCTAGAACTTCCTGATCTACTCCTTCCTTGTTTCTCTTTTTCTTTATGGTCTTTTTTTGGTTCTAAAATGGATGCCGTTTCATTTGGAGTTCTTTTCTTTTCATTAACCACATCACCATCTGCTTCTCTTGCTTCTAGAAGTGATAAACTATTTTGCTCTTTGTGGATAAATTCATTCATCTCTTTTGTAACCCTTTCTGACTGTTGCTTTTCTTCTGAAACAGAAAAAGACAAAAAAAAATTGAATGTAAAATTAAAATCTCCTATACTACTAAATTTCAAGCTACTAGACTGTAACAATTAGGGTACAGAATTAGGGTACAAATCAAACAATTCAAGATTTTCTAATGGCCACATTAGTCAGGCAAAAAGAAACAGGTATAATTAATTTCAGTATGTCAAAAATATTATGTTAAAATGCAATCAATTCAAAAAATACTGATATTCTTTTTTTCACATACCATGTTCAAAGTCTAGTGTGTATTTTATACCTACAGCACATTTCAATGAGGGCTAGCAACATTTCAAGTACTCAGCAGCTTCATGGAGTTAGCTGCAATTCTGAACAGTAAAACAGGAGTATCAAAATGCAGAGATGCATAGATAGGAAGTTTCCCTTTTATTCAATTATAACAATGTAAAGGTAAAATTGAATCTTTAGCTGTTAATTCTTAATTACATTTGCAGCTGCCCAAAAAGATTTTTCAAAAATAGAAATACTATTCTTTCATTTCTCATACTATTAAATACTGTACCCATGTGAAGTATTTTAAATAAAAAACTTGTAGCCTTTATCCTTTAATATTCTAGCTACTTTTCAATTGTTTTACAAATGTATTTCCTCCATTTCAAAAGTCATTTTTCACTTCAACAATCCTAATAAGAAATCAAAATAACCTATTAGATAGCTGGGTTTATAGCCTCCAGAATGAATGGCTCCTAAAACAATCTAAAAGAAATACCTTCCATCTGTTTATCATGTAGTAGCTGCTGTTCTTTTTCTTTTCTCCAAAAAGCTTCCTGTTTTTGCCGGATTCGGTGCCGTAATTCTTCATCATCAGTGTCAGATGACTCAGAGCCTCTGTCACTCCGCTCATCTTCACTGTCTCCTGATCCATAACCACCCAGTCCACCTGTGAGCATAAAGCTCAGTCTATTACATGAAAATATTGTACAATCTATTAAAAACTTTTTAAGGTCTGAGAAGAAACCTCATTTCTTTTTTCATTGCCTTTTCCCGAAAGAATGTATGTTCGGGGTGAGGAGAAGTATACTTTCAAATGCTTACAGAATTCAAAGAACCCTCAGACAATGGTTACCTACTACATTATTATTTCTGGAATATTTCATGTATTTCTCACCATTAAGTAATCTTGATAATGGCTCACTGGTACAGAATTGTTATTATACTGAAACTACTCCCCACCCCGAAGTGATCTAAGTGGTAATCATAATAAAACCACATGGGCATTTTTCATTCTACCCACAATCTTGTTCCTCACAAAAATTAATATGAAATGAAGATGTGGAAAAGGCAAATTCAAGCTTTAGAAACTTGATAATATATCATGCAAATACCAAATTATGAATACATCACTACTGTTATACTGGATAAGATAAACCCTCTCCTCTGTTAAAATTTGACTTGCTACAACACAATTCATATGAAAGTCATTAAAACCATTAGTGG